AATACGATTCAAGTTTTAAAACATTACTCTTAGATATGAAAACTGTGGAATTCAGTTTAGCTAGATCTATTTTTATAGCAAAAGCCTCTAAGATGTTCTTACTTAGTAATCATAATGATACTACGTTAGTTGATTTTGATAGTTTTAAACTATTTTTTAATTTGGTTTTTTCTACCTCGGTTGAAGGTATTTGAAAAAATATTAAATAAATCAAAAATATTTAAATTAATGGAACAAATAACAGCTGTCATAAGAGCGGTTCTATAGTTCTATAAGTTCTTAAAACTTACATACTTTTCTCCAAGTTGTTTCAAAACTAAAATTTTGCTCTATTTTTGATTTTTAAAAAAACTTTTTACAAAAACATTTTTTAAATAGAAAAGTTTCTTTTTTTCAGGTTAAAACTTTATGCATGTGAAAAATGTGTATGTTATAAAGTAGCTTCGGCGCTAAGTAGAGTGGTTACTTCAGATTTAAGAGATCAAACGTTCGACACCTTCTATGTGCAGCACTGTTTAGAAAAACTTTTTGAACTTTCTAGTTAAATGCTTCAACACAGTGCTTAGAAAAAATCCGATCGGTCATCTTGGAATACCTTAATAACAACAACAATGAAATTAAAAAAAATAAAACAACAGTGTATACATCGTTTATTTTTGTATAAATAACTGTAACCCTTACACGCAACTTTAAGTACGTGTAAAAGTTGAAATAAATTTTTGTCTTTAAAGTTTGCAACTAAATATTCTTTGAGCTTTTAGTGAACTTGTTATTTAAAAGCACGCAATACCTTAAATCTGCTGATAAATAGCAAATATAAACAACTTGTATCAAAGACAACATGGCAAGAAAACCTATTGAAACTTTGGCTAAATACCAAAACATGTTAAGTGTTTAATGGGTCAAAATTGAATGCCTTTTTACACACGAAACATGTAAAGTGTTTAATAATAAAAATGGTTAATGAAGTTTGTTTGATATGATATACCAACAATGCAAGGAAGTGTTATATTGATACTTTAAAGAACAATTAAGGAAGTTTCTAACTTCGTTGTTACTTAGCATTTTAATTTCAACCTGCAACACAAAAATCAAAAAGAATTAACAGGTGTGTAAATAAATAAAAATTTATAAGGTCTCATTAAAAAAAAATTGAAAATAATTAATTGGAATTTAATAGTTAACTTAAATAAACATGATGAGTTGGAGACTTTTGCTTCTCGCATCAGCTATTTCAACATTAGCTCGGGAGGATTCAGCTAAAGTAAGAAAATCTCAACATTAGTATAACTAGCATACATACTATAACATAGTATAAACTTTATAAATTGATAATATTTTTTTTTTTATCCATTTTTAATAAAAGTAATAATTTTAACAAATTGAGAGAACACCAAGAGGGTGTATAGATGTATAGGGTGTATAGATTTTTGGTATCTTTTTGGTACTTCCTGTTTCCTGCATAAAAATAGGTAAATTTTTGTTTAAAGTTAACTTAAAAACTATTGGTTCCATTTACTTAATGAAAAAGGTTACCCAGTATGACCCTTGATTACTTTCTAGTTGGGATTTCAATCCTGGAAATCTTTCCGAATCACGGAAAGAAAACATGTTAGTTTAATATGCCAAACAATCCTAAGATAGTATTGTTAAGAATAAAGAAGTACATTTCGTTTTGTGAAAAAAATGTCTCATGTCTAACTGGTTACATTAGTGATTTCCCTTGTTTAATAACACGATCTAGTTCCTTTTTATACTTAAAGACTTACTAAGTAAGTCTTAATAAGTCTTTAAGTATAAGAAATGACAATTTTTGAAAATTGCAGTACACGTAGTGACTATTTAGAAAGAGTTTGTTCAATTCTAATGAAACCAACAAGACTTACTATTGATAACGTTTTTCCAACGTTGTTTCAATGTTTGATAGACAGACGTTGGAATAACGCCGTTATGCCGACATTGGAAAATTGTTGGAGTTTAGTTAACTTGTGTCGCAACCAAAATCCAACCAAATTACAACAACAACGTTTTTTTCTTACTGGGTAACTTTGCGATTATAAAGACGAATTAAAGCAAAAGCTCGATGTAGTAGGAAGGAATGTACTTAAGTCACTCTTCAACATTTCCAAACACAGCAAATATTATATTCATTCTTTGTTTTACATCCTAGATCTATCAACAATTGTACAACAAAACAAGTTAAACTTTTGTATATTAAACCTTGGATATGGCAAACTCAAAAACCAAACCGCAAGGCACCCTTTTTAGATGATGTCATAGGTTTATGCAATCGAATTGAACTAAATCTAAAGAACTTAATGCAAAACGAAACAAAACAAAAGCAAAAAAGTTGTTGTCTTTAAAAATATAATTCCTAAAAAATATATTCAAAAGTTAAAATATGCAATAAATGCTGGAACTATTTGGGGCAAAGGGAAATCTTCGAAGATATTCTTGAAGTAATTTTAAGATAAACTTATTTTCTTTCGAAAATTAAAAATTTGTATTATGTTTTCCTTTTATTTAAAAAGCAATTAAAATCATTTCTAATTTTAGCATTTTAAACTAGTTAATTAAAAAACACTAGCTAATTTATAACAGTAAGGGAAGTTGGACCACAGTGGATCGGATTTTTTTATTTTTTAAATTGAGCAAAAGGTAAAATATGTATTTCATTTTTTTCAAGGCAAAATGATTGAGATATATGTCCTTCATAATAAGAAATTACTGAACCCAAAATATTTATTATCTAACGGCTCACAGAAAGGTTTAAAGTAAGTTGTGTCACGTCATTTATTGTGCCCCAGTACTGGGACATAGTAAATAATGAACATAGCCGTGAATTAATGATAGTAACTAGGGGCATAACCATAAAATTTTGAAGCTGACGGAGCAAAGACACTGTACACTATACTTTTGATATGCTTTTATTAATTAGACTAGTATAAAATTGAAATAATAGACATTTTGAAAATTGAGAATAAAAAAAAAGAATTTTATAGATAGCAAAACTTATAAAAATTTTAAAAAATAAAATACTTATTCAAACATTATTATTTATAACTTGAAACTAATAAGTTCATTTTCATCTAGTTTGTTTGTTAAAAATGCATGAATTTAATCTTTAAAATCATTAATAGTCCTTAGTGAATCAATCTATTCACTATACCCCGATTCATTGTGCCCCACCATAACAAATTAAGTTTAAGTCTAATTTCTTGGGACATAAGTGTTGTTAAAGGAAAAGCTAACCTACTAAAAGGAAACATAAGTATCAATAATAAGAATGAAAAACTTCAATTTTTATAATTATTTGAACCATAATCTCCATAACAAATATAAGCAAGGTAAAAAAATTTTCTTTAGGTAGCTAAAAGCAAAAATTACCTACCAAAAACCGGTAATCAAAAATTATGCTGTATCAACTATGAATAAAGATTGTTAATATACAAGTACATAAAATGTTACATTATGAAAATGAATACATTTCTAATCTTTGAGAAATGCCTCTTATATCCACTGTACCTCAACTTCCCCTGTAAATGCAGGTTCGCTTCATTTTTATTTTGTTCTTGAAATGCATCTTTTTTTCAAAAAATTTCAATGTATAAAAAAAATATGTATAAAAAAATAAAGATCATTCGAATTTTATTGAAATTATTTAAATGATTCTAAATTGTTTAAATTTAAATGATTTGAAACGATTTTAATTATTCTAGTCACAACAAATACAACGATATAAAATGAAAATACCCCATTCCAAATGTATTGTTATCTGTTAAATTGATAGCGCTGTTACATTTATGGCATTTTAGTAGTGATACACAATTATTTAAATCAATAAAGCTTGCAATACATTAACAATTTTCATGTTTGGTAATATTTTTTCCTTTTATTATATTGTTATGATTTACATGGTGTCTTCCTATGGTATGCTTTTTCAACTAATTTTCCTTCACTTGAAACTTAAACAAGCACAATATTGTGCTTTTTTGGTTTAGTGAATTTCTTCTCAAACTTTTTTTTGTAAAAACAAGAAAAGTTCTCTTTATTATCTTTGTTATTTTTAATAAAAATTTAACTCCATAACAGATAGATATTTTTAGGGGTAAGCAGAATAAGTATGTTGACCAACCTCGAACCCCTTCTTCATTTATTAAGCTTGCGTTGATGTAAACCTGCGTTACATTGTTTCCTGCCTAGGATAATAAATCTTTTTCCCTCTTCTCATAGGTTTTTGTTTGTGCCTCCTTGATTATGGCTAAGCAACTGTTCCTGTTATCTCCTAATGAGACTACAGCTCTAAAACTCAGTTTAATGGTTTTGAGGCCTGCTATTTGTATCTGTCACTACATACTCTAAAAACTTTTATTTGTCTAGTTTTTTTCTCCGCACCTCAATCCTTTGGAACTCTCTCCCATTTTCATGTTTTCCTGACTCATGCAACCTTTAACTTTTCAAGTCTTCTGTTAATCTTTTCCTTGCTCTATAACTCTATTCTTTTTTTCTAGTAATTCCCAATTTAATTGTGGTTGCTTGCAGTCTTGTTGGGAGTGAATCAGAATAATAAAAAATATATATGTTCATAAAACAAATATACAAAGCTTAAACAAAGCTTAAAACAACTAAAAGTAAACCTCAAAGTTTTTGAAAAAATAATGTTCACTTTCAGTTTACTAATTAATGATACAAACAATCAATAATATTTTTGTACTTATTTGCCTTCTGCCAAGACTTTGTTCTGTATTTTTTGTTTTGCGTTACCTCAGTGTAATATTCTGTAAAAATAAAAAATAAATAAAATGCCAAATTATACACAATATTTTTTCAATGTTTGAAGTAATAAAAACCAATGTTCTTTCTTGTAAATCAATAATACGTCTTATTTCTTGTAAATCAATAGTTCGTAAAACTAGTCGTTTAAGTTTCTTGACAAAAACTAAAACGACTAGAATTTTTTTTTTTTTTTTTTAAGTGCTTTTTGTTTTTTTGTTTTTCAGTCTTTATCAAACGTGCTCTTGAAATCAAATACCGCTTTATTATTCTTAAGAAACAAACGAGCAAATCCTTCAGATCAAATAAGAAAAGAGTGCTGCGGTAAAGCAAAATGTAGGTATGAAGAGAGGGAGGAAATTGCTGAAAATGTTGGTTGGGATAGAGTTAATGCTGCAATGTGTGAAGTTTCAATTAGGTAAAAACTTTTGTGATGCAACTCTAACATTTGTGTTTCCCATTTGTGATATTTGTGTTTTTATTTTTCATTGCGAGTATTTTAATTACCTTTACTAAAGCTATAATAAGTGATCAACCGGAATTCTGTTTCGGTATCGGTTTTGGCCCAAATTTCAATTTGAACCGATACCGAAATCTTGGTTTCGGTACTAATTTGGTAATAACCGAAATTTCGCTTGAAAAACATCTCGAAAACCAATTTTTCTCTAATTTAGAAAAACAGTTATTTTTTAGAATGCTCACAAAATATTTTAAGAATTTTCACAAAATATTTTGAGAATTTTCACAAAATATTTTGAGAATTTTCACAAAATACCTCAAATCTTGTTTTGCAGAGTAAATCTGTTTTTAAATTTCGCTATTAACATCGGTGACTTATTAACTTATATTGGTGACTTATTAAATTTCAATTTAGGATACACGTGTAATTTATTTTAACATAATACGAGTATAAAAAAACAAAAAATGTAAAATTGGATTTTAAAATAAATTTTTCTAATAAAATAAATTTTGACTAGTTGCGATTTTGGTATCGGTTTTGGTAAAAAATTTGCCCAAATTTCGGTTTCGGTTTCGGCACCAAATTTGAGTACCCGAAATTTCGGTTTATTTCGGTTTCGGCTTTTTTCTGTTTTGGTCGATCACAAACTATAGTGCCTAAAGTTAATTGGTTTTTGCAGAGTAAAAATAACACATCTTTTTGTTCTCCAAATACAAGCCATGCTACAATATTTTTTTAAACGTTTCTTTTTTTTTTTCTTTATTATTTATTTACAGAATTTCTGTCTATATGGAGGTTGCTTGTATATAAGGGTGGGCTGAAATTTTTTTTTGTTTTTTGGTTCGCTATACCACTGAAAATATGTCTCTAGGGTAATCTAAAAAAAATGTAAACAAAAAAATCCAAACGCCAGCTCTAGACGTAAATACTTTACTTCTAGAGCTAGCGCATTGCACATGAAAATTTGAGCAAATTTGCGCTTTTTATCTTTGTTTTCTAATAAAGCGAATAAAATAAAATAAACTCTAAATTAAGTAGCTATAACCTATTGAAGTAGAACAATGTATTAGAATTAAATTAAATAATTAATTATTTTTAGTTTAAAACTATTAAGCTGATTGTTTTCAATTGCAGTTTTTATAGAGGTTCTTAATATTTTGTTACTTTCTATTGATTGCTCTTATAATACCATCTCTAGAATTAGAAACAACAACTGTTATAGAGGATAGCTGTCACAAGTTTTATCGTTCTACGTTTGGTAATAAAGACACTCAGAAAAAGTTTTGCAAAATAATAACTTTGTTCAAGGCAAAAATGCCGATGTAGTCAGTAACAATAAAAATATGTTTCTACAAATTTCTTAATTAAGAAATAACTATTATAACTTCTGTAACTTTTGTAAACCTAGTTCTCTAACATAAGGTTTTATGGATAGACAAAAAAAGGGTGTATCTATCAATTATTGGTTTTATTAATATTAACAAAACATCCAACAGGATTTTTACACTTCAAATACATATTGTAGTCCATTTGTTAAGTATTAACTTTTAATTATATAGAACGATATATGCACACAAAATACGAGAACTTGAACAGTCAGATTATAAAGCCATTTTTTTATTAAGATTTGACTTTAAAAAATTAATTTATAATAGTAACTTTTATAAATTAAATAATATTAGTTTTACTTTAGTATGAACATGTGTTATTGCGTTAATTTCTTTAATCTAACTAATAATTTAGATAAAGTAAGTTTGAAAAAACAAAACAAATAATTAGCTAAGTCATTTTTTACAAAAAGTGAATTTTTTGGTTAAGCAATTTCACTTCTCTCCACTACTCGTATAAAAATTATATAAAAGGGCTTATGATATTGGTTTCTCTGCTCAAAACCTCTATTAGATTTGCAGTGCTCAAATACAGTTATAGATATATCCTTTTAGTTCTTAAACACTTTGAGTATTTTAAGTTCTTTTAGTTCTTAAACACTTTGAGTATTTTTGCCTATTTTAACTGCATTACTAAACGAGAAATGCTGATTTTTATTTAAAAGTGTGAGTTTAACTTGAGTTTAACTTGAATCTCACAAACAACACAGAAAGGTTTTACCTCTTGTAATTTCTCACTTTTATTATATTGTGCGTTATTAGGTCGACTAACTTAAATTATTTTTCCTAATCCATCTAAAGCTAGAAACAAAAATTATATAACCAATATATAATGATAACTCATTAAAGAGTAAAACGTAAAACCTCTGGGAAAAGTATGACCTGAGCTTGATTGAATTAAACTTAAAAAATACTTCTAATTTATAGCTCTTCAAAACCTAGTTGAATTAAGTTTTACAAAAGAAAACAGAGTTTTATCCTTCTACCCATCAAAATATAGTCATTGAAGTCGGTTGTGCTTGTTCTTACACTTTTTTCGAAGGTGTGAATGGTTATTTACGTTTTTTCTTTTTGCTTGTTATTGTACGTCCATTTGAATATGTATATTCTTTAACTTCTAACTTTATTTTTGTAATTATATTTGGTCACAATACCAAAATCTTGCAAAACACTTAGGGACAATGGCTCTTGTTGGTCTGTCTGATAAGTTAGAGAACCAGTTAGAGCCGTCATTCAATTTTAGTTAAAGTTTTAATTCTAGTATTTTTTTTTCTTGTTTAAAGTACTGATAATTTTGAATATAGAAAAAAGAAAAAAATTATTAAGTTTTAAATAAGTTTTAAAAATTCAATTGCGATGCGCTAAATCCAGAGATGAAATATTAGTTATTTTGTAATATGCATCTTTAACCATTTTGTAATAAGTAATTTTAACTAAGCAGAAAGATGTTTTTTTACTTATAAATAATTTTTTATTTTATTTTTACTATTTCAACAATTTGTTAACCTAAAACAGTTCCTAACTACTTGTTATATAATTTATTTTATTTTATTCCATTTATCAGAAAAAACGGTAATAAACTTTTTGATTAAAATCTAATAGTTCAGTAAACTAAAGATTGACAGGTATGTTTCTAAATAAATCTTGTGCAGACCTGTCAATCTTTAGTTTACTGAACTATTAAATTTTAATCAAAAAGTTTATTTTTTACTTTTTAGTTCAAAAAAGATTATAGTTTTTAGCAAATTTTTTTGCTATATTTTTTATTTTCTACTTTTTAGTCTTAACAAATTTTTCATATGAAATACAAAACTAAAAAAAATTATTAAAAAAATTAAAAAACTAAAATACAAACCTACAAGCAATCTTGCCGATCTAAAAAAAAAAATTATTAGTAAAAAAAACTTTTTTTAAATAAATAAACCCGCAAGCAATTTAGTGACTAACTTTTACTAAAAAGAAAAGTTGCGAGTGATTGAAGGACGACAAAGTTACTTGAGGAAGAGTTCATATCAAGTGAAAGAAAAGATTATAAAAAGCGTATATTTATTCAAATATTCAAGTGCGATGCGCTAGCTTTAGACGTAAATTATTAGAACTATTTTTTTTTTTGCATTTTATTCTAAAACCCTAGAGACAAATTTTCCATGGTACAATGAATCTAAAATCAAAATTAAAAATTATTCTGCCCTTTCTAGTGTATATAGTTTCTTTAGTAAATTTTTACGGAAAAGCTACTTTTATTTTCCTTTTTTTTTATTTTTTTTTTTCTCTAGGGAGAATCAAGTGTGCACATGCAAACCTAAAAGTGGAAGTATTACTTTTGAGTGCGGCGATGATTTAAGGAACTGTCTAAACCCATGTAAAGAATTTCAATGCAATAACGGAAGAACATGTGCAAAACATTCCTATACATGTGACTCTAATAATGATTGTGGAAATTGGCGAGATGAAATTGGTTGTAAAACAAAGTACTCAGAGGATCAAATCAAAAACAACTTAAGACTAAAATATGCAAACCAATGTAAGTTGATTTGTTTAAAGAACACACACTACTATAACAGGTTACTTGTGATTAATGTAACTATATGATAATAGTAACTACTGTGATTTCATAAGAACAACTTTCTCTCTGATTCAAGAAACTATTGCGAGCAGACTAGGTGGAGATCAAGCATTTTCTAAAACGAAGTTTATTACAAAAAAAATTATAATTTTGTGATATATTTTTGCAAATCAAAATAAGTATTTGCTGGGATAGTTTTCTAATTTAAAATTTTTTTTTGCCAGCAGTATATAATTTGCTGTTTAATAAACCTTTTATTATTTATTTTTTATTCAACAACTTCACTTCCAACAAGGCTGCAAGCAACCACTATTAGACTTGGAAGTTACTAGATGAGAAAAGGTGAAGTTAATGAATAACAATCAACAGTAGACAAGAACAGAATAAAAATTGACAGATGACTTAAAAGGTTGCAAATTATATATGAATCAAGAAAGCAAGATGATGGAAGCAAATTCCAAAGGATTGATGTGTAAGGAAAAAAACTTGACAATTGAGAATTTTAAAAGTACTTAGGAACAGTCACAGTAAAATGATGAGACTTAATTGAATGACGAGAAATACGAGAATAAATTTTAGTAGATAGCCCAAGAGATGCAGGCTCTTTAGATTAGTGCCCATTATAGTATTTACAAAAAAAAAAAGAGAAGAAATATTTCGACGGCGTGATAGTGGTTGTAGCTTGGCTGCAAGACAGGCCTAACTATGTTTTCACACATTGTCTAAAAGAGAAAGGACATCATCGGAAGATCCGCCCTAGATTTAGCACCAGTGTTTTATACAAGGACGAATTTGAGATTTACAGAAATAAAGAATAGAATCCGGAGTGAGAAAGTGGCAAATGCGATAAAGAGATGCAATCTTAGCAGATGTTAATTTTGCAATGGATTTGATATATAGTTTTCAAGAAAGACCGTAAGCAAGATTTAATCCTAGAAGATGATGAGTAGATGACTCGTTGAGTACATCACTATTCATAAATATAGATAAATCCATTGTGGTAAAAATTGGCTGAAAAAAATTAGGCTGAAAAAAGATAAGTTATCTGAATTAAAGTTCGCCAGCCAATTAAACGAGTCAGAACGCTCTCCAGAATATTTGAAAATTGGGATAACAGATGCCGTTTTCAACCTGGCAGGAAAACAAGACTCTGATAAGCACTTGTTAAATAGTTTATAAAGTATAGACGACAGCTCCGGAGAACATTTCTGTAAGAATATAACAGTTGTGTTGTCAGGACCACAAGCTGTAGAGGAATTTAAGCAGGAAGTCGCTTTAGACACAGAAACTGGAATTATATCAAGCAATGGCAAGTGGTTTCAAGCAATGGATTAAGCTGTTTGTTGGCTATATTAGGTAGAACGCAACTAGTGGCTATATTAGGTAGAACGAGATGATATTGATGAAAAGTTCTTAGCAAACAAATCAGCTTCGTCTTTAGGTGAGGTGAAAAAATCGGAACCATAAAAGAGAGGTAGAATAACAAATTTGCCCTTATTATAGATACTATTAAAGATTCTCTATATGTCTCGATAGCCTATTTTTTGAGATTAAATGCAAGATTTCGTGACCTGAGAATAGCGGACTTTGGCGTTAGACAAAACATTTTTACAACAGTTTTTAGCAACAGCAAACAGACGTCTGTTTTCTGGAGAACTATTTTGCTGATAGATATGAAATTAATGGTTTTGATTAGAAATTGCAGCAGCACAATGCGAAAAAAACTATGGAGAAGAGATTTGTCGAGAGTGAATAAAAGATTCCATGCCAGCCTCAATCCAAGAAGTTTAGTCAGAAGCACATTTGTCAGCAGGAAGGCAAAAGACTTCTACCCAAGGGCCATCACGAAGAAAAATACAGAGAGAATCTTAGTCAGCTTTAAGGTAGTTGTAAAAGATACAATAATAGGGGGATTCTGATGGTGAAGAATATTGAGATAATAGTTTTAAAGAGATTAAACCCTGATCAGATGCACCTATGGGTGAATATGGAGAAACCTAGCACTAAATAGGATCAGAAACAAAACATAAGTCGAGTAGAGAAGGTAAATGGTTCGAATTGTCCGGAAAGCGAGTTGGCTATATGAGTTAGAGATTGAAAAAGGCAAAAGTTGTGGATCTTAACGCCTGTAGAGTTAATGACACTAGAGCCAAACCATTCAGTGTGATGATCATTAAAGCCACCAACAATAACGAAATTGGCTGAAGGGTAAAGTTTAAAAAAACGGTCAATTTGATCAGAAGTAACATTTAAAAAAGTCTAACGAGATGTTTTAAGATGATTTAAAAAAGTGCAATGAGATGAAGAAGAGAACCATACAGAACAAAAAAAAAGGCGATATAGTGAAGTGGTGCTAAACAAAAGCACATAAAAGAGAAGTCTGTCGATTCATATCTATAGTAATAAACTGGTGTAACCAGTAATAAACTGTTGTAATAAAACCAGTCAAACCAGCAATAAAGAACAACAAAAATAGTTCAATAAGTCTCAAAAGGTTTCATATTAAGGTTCAAGAATAATTATTCTCTAAGAACTAATGAGAGAAATGAAAAGGCTATTTCCATTTCAATATGGTGAAGTTAGTAAAATAAATTTACTACTTTTACCATATTAAAATAAAAATAGCTTTTTCAATATGGTTAAATTATTAAATTTATTTAAAAAGAAGAATTTTTAAATCAACTGAAAACTTTAAAATTTGATATACGAACCTTTTTGATAAATCTTTTTGTTAAACTTAAACTCTTAAACTATGTTTTATTTTTTACTAAACTTAATTTATATTTATAGGAATTTATTCTATTTATCGTCTTTTACTCTAATTATGAAACGGAGATGCTAATTTTTTCATATTTTTCATAATTTTTTCAACGGAGTTTTATACTATTATTTTTAATAATTTTATTTTACTTTAAACTTGTTAAAAGCCCAAATAGGGGTTCTATAAAAAGATTGAATCACTTTGGTCATGTCTTTTTTGAGTCCCTGTCTGTTTATATAATTCTTTTTTTTTTATTCAATTTTTTGAAAACGTTTCTTTGTAATTGAAAACGTTTCTTTATATTTTTACACAAAATACTTGTACAAAAATATATTTTAATTGTACGAACAGCAAAATATATAAAAAAAAATTTAAAAATCGCTAACTGCATAAAATAGTTTAACTTTCAAGTAATGTTATAAATTCCCCCACTGAAAAAATTTGTAAAATATTCTTACTTAACTAAATTAAGCGAATGTGATTAAATAAAAACAAAACGATGCTTGTTCTCTATCTTTTCTCTATATTTTTATACTATTATAATTTTTTTTTATGTGTCTTTGAATTTGCTGTGTTTTTAGATAACAATTTTTACGGATCTGTGGAAATATATAATCGGCCAATATGTGACGATTCCTGGACAAATCAAAACGCACAAGTTGTCTGCAGAACACTAAATTTTCCTCCTGGAACACTTGCAATAGGATGGGGAAATGAACAAGTCTCCACAAATTTTTTAATGGATGACGTTATTTGTAGTGGTGAAGAATCCAGTCTTAAACATTGCAACCATAAAACATACCACAATTGTGGCCCAACAGAGGGGGCAGCCGTTGTTTGCTTGGCACCAAATTTACTAAAGTTAACGCCATTTAACTCTGCAAGTGGTAAAAATGAGGGGATAGTCTTATTTAATGACATTCCAATATGCGCCAATGGATGGAACTTTCAAGCAGCTCAAGTGGTTTGTAACCATCTCTATGGGGCAGAATTTAAAATTCCTGTCCCTGTTTACGACTACCAAACAAATGCTGGGCAGAAATCAGCTATTTTTTATTTGACATCAATTGTTTGTGACGGAACAGAAAGTTTGTTGGCACAGTGTCAAACAAAAATTTCCAAATCATGCTCAACACACGTTGCAAGTGTTCAGTGCGCTCGATGTTCACCGTTTAAACTAATGGATATAGTAAAAAAAATAAAAGTTGACGGCTCAATTGTTGAAGTTTACCAATCAGTGGAAGCTGCAATTAGTGAACTCAATGCTGAGTGCCGAAGTTGGAATTGCAGTATTCTAAATCCAGTTTATTCAGATTTTTGTACAGTTCGAGCATTTTTGAACGAAATTAAGGATTTTACGAAATCGGGAATGAAAAATAACATTATTCTGTACACTGACATTAACCACTTTGGGCTTCTTAGCTATAAGTTCCTCAAAGGTAATTTTGAAAAAATCCGAAATGATATTGATTCTTTAGGTCAAACTCTATCAACTGAGTTAGGAGAATACTTCACAAGGTTAGCTCAATTTGATGAGCAAACTGCTAAGTCACATAAAGAAAATGCTTTAAATATTTTGTCCGAATCAAAATCTCGATGTGAAAGTGAGTCTATAAAACTTTCAAATCAATTGAGTTTTATAATAACATACGCATTAGGTGTTGTAGCATCTGACATTGTGTCTAAAACTGCAGTTCTTGCTCTACGTATTGTGGGAGCCCTTAACCCTATAAAATGGTTAACTGGAAGTGAAACATCGGCAGTTGACATAAAAGAAGCTCTGAGTGAGGTGGCAAAACAAGCAGTACGAAATAAACAAGTTAAGTACTTTAAATCAAACTTTATTCCAAAATTAGATAATCTTATGAAACAAATATTTGTTAAAGTAAATAAAAATAAGGAGACATTAGATACCATTAAGCATTTTGTTGAAACAATTGAAAAAAATGGAGAGTTTAAAAAAGAGCAGCTTGTTAAGTTTTCTGAACATGCAGATAAATATTCGCCAGCAATTACTCAAAGTGATATTAGTGAATTTGGCGCTATTTTAAGTCAAATGATTGAAAAGTTTTGTGAAGTAATTGAAAACCCTGATACTGAACTAGGAACCGTTCCAGCTGGTATTGCGGCGCATCAAGGATTATGTCCCAACGCTAAGGTGACTGCTCCAGTGTTAATTTCCCTGTATCAAGAAGTAGCAACGCAAGAAGTAACAATATTGGACAACTTTTCTAAATTTGTTAGAGCTACGATTGCTAAAGATGCAGCAAACAAACTTTCAACTTCAATGAAAAGTTCGTCTAGTAATCAGCTTTATAAACTCCTTAATAAATATGAAGCTCTTTATCTTATTCGGTATCATAAAATTATAATTATTAAAAATGCATGTAACTACTTGACATACATGAATTATGGCGTCGAAAAGCCAGTGTGCACAGATTTACTTGAAAATCCGAGTGGTGATCCAGGAATTTTGATAAATACTGTTCCAACTGCTATGTGTCAATGTCGAAACTGTTTTACCAAAAAAGGTGATTTTTTGATCCCAGCAACCATGACTGGTGAAAACGATACCATTGATCTTTCAACTTTATATGATGCAGATGCAAAGTTTACAAAAGGATATGCATATTTAAATATTCCAAATAAAGATTGGCTTGTGGAAAACGAATGGATTTCTGAATATGAGCAAGGTCCATTCTTTTTAAAGAGGTTAAACATACATCTTCCTTCAGCTCTCAATTTTTCTCACAAAGTTAATATAAAACTAACTTTATTAAACAATCAATTACAAGGAAAATCTTATATGTTTGAAGGTGGTGTTATAGTAAAAAACCAGTACATAGAAAATCAGTCAAAATGTTCTCAATACAATCCATACACAACTGAATCTTGTAACAAAAACGCAGGGACTTTTTGTTTGAATGTAGATGGTGTTATAAATGGTGAGTTACTTCCTCGATTGGATGGTTCAAAATGGCGCGTTGAACTTCGTTCAAATCAAATTTTGCCTAAAGTTTATTCTGAAACGAAGTTGTTTCTTCAAGCAACAGCGGAGTTTTGCTATCAAACCAAATTGCAGAGCAAACCAAAATATAGTCTTGATAAAAATGTTGCATTTTACCGAAATATCCAAGATTGTTGCAGTGATAATGGAATGTTTGTAGATCAAATACTATTAAAAAAATCTCCGCACTCAAGCCCTTGCCAAGATTGTCCTCTAGGATCTACACCACGACTAAGTGGTTATTTTTGCGAAAAATGTCCAGCTGGTTATGAACCTAATATTTTGTTTTACTTTGGTTGTACTCCATGCCCTAAAAACAAATTCAAAGCTTTCGCTGGGCAGCACGCTTGTGAAAGCTGTTTAGATGGAAAAACATCTTTAGAGGGTGCTCTCTACTGCTACTGAAAGGATCGTTATATATTTTTTGATTATTGCATTAAATTATTCTTTTTTCATATTTAAAGGTTTTTTATTTTTCATATTGGGTTCTTTATATTTTGAAGAAAATCCTTATTATTGCTCTCATAAAGTTTTTTTTTAATTTAAAATAATAAATATTTTTTTAATTTCTTATTTATATTTTTTGTCTTTTAGATTTTCAGAGAAAAGTCTAAAATGATGGAGTATTTTAACATTTAATGGTTGTATATGATTGTATAATTGTTTGAGAAATAATGATTGCTAACAAAACGTTTTATTTATATACTTTTTTACTGAATTTCTTAAAACAATCTGACCTAGAATTCACAACGAATCATCATTGTTTTCAAAGCACATGATGTATTATTAAAGGGAGTGTCAATTAAAAAAAATCCAGTATGTGTTTATCCTTGCTATTGTTACTCCCTCAGGCAATGGGTATAGATAATGAATAAAACAGTAATAACAACTTATGGTTGGAATTAAGTTTTTATTTTAATAAAAAAAGTATATAACTAAGAGTCCCTAAAGGATCTATAAAAAGAAAGTCAAAATTTAAATATAGCTACAATATTTTTCTACTAAAGTGAATAAAATGTACATTTTAAAAATAAAATATATTTGTATTGTGTTTTATTCTCCTCCGGCTAATTGCCATAATGAGGCCACATTACCAAGGTCCGCAAAGATAAGTTCAGCTCCTTAAGGAGCGTCAAACTCGCTTTACGGACCAAGAGTAAAGTGCTTTTGTGAAGAACGAAGATATAATAGAGTGAAAAACAGAAGGAGTCGTGTTAGAAAGAGAGCTTAGAGAAAGATGACAGAAATTACAGGCGATGTTAAAATATGCTAATTTTAACATTATTTAAATCTTTAGATATAAAATATATTTGAAATAAATTATATTTGAAATATTCTAAATGTCCAAAGACGCCAAAGATATATGGTGGTATAGAATAAGTTAAGTCATCATTTGTTGCGGTACAGAGTTAATTACCATTTAAAATAAAAATACCTGCAAAGATTTTTTATTTTTTTTTTTGAAAAAAGTTATTTTAATATACTTACTTGATAATTATATTAAAATTTATATTGGTTTGTAGAATATAAACTTTAAGTAAATAAGAAAAAGTTTAACTTTATAACAAACAATATATAAAAAATCAACATGTGTAGCTGATCCAGCAAGAATTAATTTAAAAAAATGTGCAACTCATCTTTAGTAAAAGATTTACTATTTGCAGTTGTAGAAAAAAATACTTATCAATTTTATTTTTAAATGTTATTATGCAAGCTATCGGCAACTTATTCCATGGCGGAGCCATTTCGCATGTTATTGGCAAGTTGTTCCAATTATTGACAATACAATTTGTGTTAAAAATATGACGAGCATTATTTTATGTGAATTCACGCATAAGGACGTTGGATGGTGATCTGCAAGTTGGTGGATTATACCAATTGATGATCTCAAAACCAAAGTAAACAAAAAGTAGTAAAACCGAGACAGCGATACCTCTTATCATAAGATAATCCTATTAAATCATGAGGTACTTTTTTTGCTTAGTGTTGATTTTTTTCAATTTTCTTGATGTCACATTTTAATTAAAGACACTATACTGAAACAGCAAATTCAGTGCGGCCTAACATACGTAGTGTATAGTTTACTCCAAAGCTTCATATCTCTTGACGTAAATGTTTTTTCAATAGACCAAGTATCTTATTCGCTTTATGTATTAATTTTACATTTTACAACATTCAATTCCATTAGCCATTCCTTTGACCATTCTGTGACATTGTTTAAATTGTTTTCAATCAAATTTATTTATTTCTTTCAAAGAATGACAATAAGGATACAGTAAGTAAAATGTTGAGAATAAAATATAAATAAAAAAGATGTCATAAATATAACTCTGCTCTCTATTTATTTATTAATGGAGATTGCAAGAATCTGACCGAGTTTATAAAAGTATTTATAAGAGGTTCACACTGTTCTGCAATAATATTAAAGAAGTGTATTGTGTGTTGCTAAATAACAAGCATTAATTGGATGACCACCATGCCTTACCATGCCTATAGTTTGCTAGCACTATTCTAAGGTAGTTTGTTTATAATCAGACGAAGTATATTATTATTTGCAAATGTAGAGGATGGAATGAGTCTTTTTGCAGAAGTTATCAAAGCTGACAACGATAAATAGGATTGAAAAAGACATTACACAGCATGATCTTTGTTTGAACTTGTGTTAAGCTTCCTACAGTTGTAGTACTCAGAATGCACTTTTTTCTTTACTTAATAAGTGGCATGGAGGTTTTGTTAGAACAAGATTGTATAATGGAGGTTTTGTTAGAATAATATTAATGGACCTTTCAAAAGCGTACAACTTTATCCCGCCTGACTTACTATTAGCTAAATTAGAAGCCTATGTTTTTTCTAAAGAAATGCTTATATACCTAGAGCATATGCTTAGAGCATATTAGTTTATAAGCTTAGAGCATATGCATATGCTTAGAGCATATGTTTATGACATATCCCTAATAGAACGCAACTCGGAATTAGACTCAAAAGGTCTGAGAAACTCCATTTCAAATTGGAATTAAAGCATTTTTGACAATTTTCGGACGTTTATGGCTGATAAGTGAAAATTAGGAGTAAGAAAGATGTTTTTCATAAATTTCGAGTTAATTGGATTGACTGAAAATCTTTCCAAGATTTTGAATTAATCCAATTGCATTGGTATCTATGTCTGCAACTTTCCTCTCATATAAGAGGCAGAAGAACTGATTTTATATGCAGTCTGCATCATTTTCGCGTTTTTTATCGTGATTTATATCTCCAGAATATAGAAATATTGAAACCTGATGAACTACACGGATATCCTTCAAAGAAATCTCCTTGTTTTTTGAAAAGAGCAATTGTCATTTTGAATTTGTCTTCTACACTAAAATTGCATGTCGGAAACAACGCAGACTTTTGGCTTGCCAATTGAACTGTTGAAAAGTACAACATTGTTCGGGTATTTGTTGGAGATGGTAAAGTCCCAAAAAAGTACCCGTTTCATATGGCGCGTTACTTGGAGTTCATAGGCATTCATTTGTTTTCTTCCTCTCCCATTTAATAAAATTTTTTTAATGGATGGACAGAAGAAATTCAGTTGATGACACCAAAATCATTCTTATTGAAGTTCGAAAGGTGTAGAGTGTTTGTTTCTGCTCCTGTTTGTCCACCTTTGAGTAGAGCATGTCTTCTTTGACAACTGTTTAGAAAAAGTAAAAATTAAAATAAGTAGTAGTTACACTTTTCAAAATTAAGTCAGAATTAGAAAAGTCTAAGTTAAGTTGGAATTATAACTTACATTGGCGGTAGAACAATTTTTTGAAATCTTTTCCCGCATCAAATTGTTGCGGATTTGTATGTGGACACGATGTCCGCCTCTTCCTCTAAATTGGATAATAAAATGCATGTGCAAGATTTTTTGGCAAAATTCCGGCCGGAATTATAATATTTTAGGCTCGAAATGAATTTTTTTTTTGCTTTAATTATTTAAGACATGCGATACAGACTGTGTAAATTAAATCAAAAAAACATTGTCCTACAGGGCAACGAAGAACCAAAGGTAAACCTAGGTAAAAAATGCAAAATTCTTATCAAATACAATGTATTCGTAGGCAAAGCTACATTTTTCTAAATTAATTCTGTTTTTTTTGCTTGTTGCGCTCTCATTAGTGGAGTGTTTTTAAACATTAGAAATTTTAGTTAAAATATTAAAAGAAGAAAGATTGCTACCCTCTGCCAAATCCTCAGTCAATATAGCTTACTTCCTTGAAGAAGCAGGTTATAAGATAGTCTATGATACTGTAGGTGTACTTCCTTGTAAAAGCAGGTTATAAGATGGTCGATGTATACATTTATATATTTGTATAAATTGTATAAATTTGCTATATATATATATATAAATTTGATTTATAAATTGTACAAATTTAATATATATATATATATATATATATATATATATATATATATATATATATATATATATATATATATATATATATATATATATATATATATATATATATATATATATATATATATATGTATGTATAAATGTGTGCATATGTAACATCCTTTGTATGTGCTAATAAAATGCATAAAAGATTTATATGGTGTTACTTTTTTAGAAACATTGATGTGACATGCCAAAAAATTCGATTTGGTCAATACGTTGATACGCGACCATTTAAAGAGAGCTCCTTATAGAATAACATAAAAATTATTTTATAACGTTTTTGTATACTTTCATTATAAATGAATACAAAATAATTAAACATTTAGATAATTTTTTTTTTAAAATCTCTATGCAAATTTAGGCTTCTACACCTACATTTAAATTGATAAAAGTTTTTTTTATAACCTAACTGTATAAAAAAATCTTAAACGTTTACGAAACGTTCTTGTGCCCACTGGACAATTCCTTATTGATTTGAATTATCTAATTCTTACTTATTTCACATTTGCTAATTCCTACTTATATACTAAAAAATTAGTCGGAATTACTGCAATATTAGAAGTCGGAATTACGTTTTTTAACAAATTCGAAGAGTCCAAATCCCAGTTATAAAAATTTCTAACTTCGGTTTCAATTTCTAATTTCGAGTTGTGCTCTAATAGGGTAGCAACACTCCCTTGTAGCAGCAGGCTATAAGATAATAGATGTAGTAGTACTCCTTTGTAGCAGCAGGCTATATGATAGTCGATGTATGTACAAAAGCCAATAAATATTTTTTATGTTTATATTAAAAAGTCGCCACTTTAAGTAAGTCTTCACTTTTTTCATTAATTCCGGAAAATCCGGTCTCAACCGGATTTCAATATATCCAATCCGGTACACCCCTAGTTAGGTCTTCTTGGAGCATCTAAATAACGTGAAAAAAAAAAAAAATTATCAACGCTACTTTTACAAGAACACCCGTCTTCATGGAAAAATTCTTTCATATCAATCATTTTTAAA